ACAAAACGTAAACTTTTTGCTTTTTATAATGGTTTTTATTAGCACTTTCTGTTTAGTAAGTTAAAACTATTAATTATCCCTTCGCTGACATCCTTGAGCTGCAGAATCGTTCTGCCAGACCACGCTTCCTTCAGGAGAACTGAAATATTCTTTGAAACTTTCCCGTACTTGTATTGCGCTATTTACGAAATTTCCTCCTGTGCGAACAAGGTCCTGCAATTGAATATCGCCTGGCTCTTCGTTTTCAAATACTGCTGCCTCATTCCGTAAGAAATTGTGTAAGACACAAGTGGCAAGTATGACATTTTCAGCACGCTTTGGAATAAGACACATCTTCCGGTAATAAATTCTAGATTTCTGGCATAAAATACCGAACGCATTCTCCGAAACTCTCCGAGCTCTGCTATGCCTGTAGTTATACACTTTCTTAGACAAATCATGCAGTTGTGACCCAGGATAAGGCCTCATCAGATATGGCTTTGATGGAAAAGCTTCATCACCTACTACGTGTGGTAGTTTAACGTCTGTTCCTGGCGGTGATTTTGGGGCAGGTATATTTAAAGTGTAAAAACACAATCGCCGTTCGGAGTCGGCGTTAAACTGTAGGTCCCTCCTCTTTGTGCGACAACATCAAGGCGCACGCCACAAATCGGAGGAGAAGCTCGGCCAAGCACTAACATATGTGTAAGCGCCAATCTATTATTATTATTATTATATTTTTAAAGTGTTATTTTCGAGTTTTTCTGCCAAATCTGAGCGCGAATATATCCCTGCGTCACTGTTTTTCCCCTGTTCGCCCACATTCACATAAATAAATTTGTAGTCTGCATCGACTAGGGCGAGTAGCATTATAGAAAAAAACTTCTTATAATTGAAATACAGTGAGCCCGTTTTTGGAGGTGCGAAAATTTGCACATACTTCCCATCTAGTGCTCCTATGCAGTTTGGATAGTTCCATTTTTGAGAGAAATCGCCTTCAATGCTCTTCCACCTGCTTTCATCTGGTATGGGCATGACGGTTTTTGACAATATGCCCCACAATGCTGCACAAGTTGTATGTACAATTTCTTGTATTGTTGTATACCCCAAACGAAAGGATTCCGCAATGGTTTTGAAGGAATCTAAAGTTGCCAGGAATCTAAAAGAGTCAACACATAAAATTAATGCAATGTATTAAACTTTTTATTTTTAGATAATGTCTGTAAGGAGAAGTGGAAATCTTTGA